TAGCTGCCAATAAATGGCCAAGGAATTTAAGCTCCATAGACTGTACATTTTTTGGTTGTCTTCTGAGTTTTTACATCATTCTCTACACACTAGGACCAGGATTGCATATTAATAAGCCTTTTACACCTAAATAGTGGTCCTAATTTTAGCCTTTTTGTGTGTGTGATTTTTACCTCTTGAGAAGACATTGTAATAAATGTGGAAAGTCTGCCTGAATTTCCTAGCAATCACTTTATTAGTCTATAATTTTGTTGAAATTGCATGAATCCTGTCTATTTCCCATAATTACTCTGTATCAAGGGGTTTACTTTGCATGTATTAAAACAGGGTCTGGTTGAAAGTACAAGCAATAGTACAGACCCATAATTCTAATTTACAGTACTAATATTCTATTAATGCATGACTGAAAATGTCCTGTATTGTATGGTTACTAGTCATTTTATATATGCATTTATTAATGAAGCAATATAAATATAACCCAAATAGTATCAATTTATTGAATAGTTAGTTTTCTAGTTAAAGATTAACATACTTCCACTGCAAATGGGAGCTAGATAAACAGGGGCAACCACAAGACATTTAGTAATGAGGCATGACAGTGCTCTCCCTCTAACCTCTTACCTGGTTCTATTAGTCCCCAAATGTTTGGGAAAAAAGGTACAAACTAAGCATGTTGAATAAATAAGCTGCTACAGTTATAATAATCAGAAAGGTGCAGAGTTTCAGAAAGGTTAGGAAAGGATTACCTGTATGTACTACATAAAATAACTACATAAGGAGTCTTTCTGATGGGCTTTTGTGGCTTAAGTGTAGCCTTTTTAGAACTAGTGTCTTAGAAGTAATTAGAGTCCATAAGCACATATTTGTTTCAGGATTTCTGGGTAACTAGGTATTAGCCAGCAATAAAGTACCCCTGCAGTAAAGGAGACTTCACTTGTGGGAATCACCCAGAAAATACTGACACATTCTTGACTGAGTTTCTTTCAACATGTGGGTTTCTTTTTACAACCAGAGACTGATCCTTGATGGTTTGGTTAGAAGCACAATTTTTTCAACTAAAGATTTGCTTCCAGGTAAAAGGACAATTTTGTTTATTTAAAAAAAAAAGAAAACCTTGCCACTTACTTTCCTCTATAGTGAAGGAATAAAATCTTTGATTCATCATAAAAATAAAAAACTTTGAGAATAATTCTTGATTTTGAAATAACCCTGTAAGAACAAGTGATTATAGCAGTGTAGACGAGGAATCCATTATATCTACAAGAGTCCTAAATGGAAGAGAATTCCAGGTTAGTCTAGATAATTATCACTAGGTACTTTTCAGGTCTCCTGTCATTGAGAAAGCTATTTTTCTAAAATTTAACTTAATTTTCTTTGCTTTGGGGCTTTGTTCCAAATACCTTTGGGAGTGTTTAAGTAGGATGGTAACTTTCCAGTAATTCAGAATTAAGTTAGATTTGTAATTCAAGTGAGATGTCATATATGACTGTCTCCTTGCCACTTGATACAATGTCTAACAGCCAATGAAACTAATAAAAATATAAGGACAAAGTTTCTCTGAACTCTGTTCCTGGTGTTTCACTAAAACAGATGAAAAGAAACCCTGAAGACTGGAAACAAACATTGCAGAGATTTCTCTAGAAACTATACTCCTAAACCTTTAAAGGAGTCCTGGCGTGGCACTGTGGGCTAACGCATCAGACAGCCAAGTCATTTCAACTATAAGGTTGGTGGTTCAAGCTCCTTGGAAACTATACAGGGTTGCTATGGGTCAGAATCGACTTGACGGCATTTAACAACAATAAACCTTTAAAGGCAGAATAGATAAAGTTACTGATAATTTTTAAAATGTTTTTCCTCCCTTGGTGATGATGTTATGACAGGGTTAGCAAAGGGGTTCTGGCAATATATAATCAGTCATGAAAGAAACAACAATCATCTTTTGTAATTAAGACATATTAGAGTGACTTCATATAGTTTACTTTTACATACTGTATTAAGTGTTGGGAATCAATCAGTTTTGTTTACTTGCGATTCTGTATCTTCACTGTACCAATGATACATGTACAAGATAATATGAAATGAACTTCACTGAATATGTTTGAAGTACTAAAAAAGGCAGCTTGCTTTTTAAAATCTATGCATCTTAGAGAATTTTAAATAGGATATTTTATTCTTTGATGTAAAAAGGAACTGTTTCTAACAGTTGGAAACTCTGCACCTGTGTACAAATGTTTGTAAAGCAATAAAGCAGCATGGGCTGGGAATGCACTAAAAGTTCATTGTGTGTTGTAATTTATTTAGAATGACTAAATGCAGTAAATTACAGACCGATTTCTAGATGCCTACCTGTGGGAGTTTCTGGTGTGTTAGCTGAAGAAACAGGCAGTCATTGAAATTTACCCAGCCCTCATTATTTTACCCTTAGGACCAATCTTAGACTTGACTTTTGAACAAATATTTAGTTTTTGGGAAGAAAACAGTGAACCAAGAGCAATAACTATAGACCAAGGAGCAGGGATCCTTTCCCATTTAAGGTGCTTCTATATCTAATATGTAAATGTTAGAAGACTGACTATTGTCAACTAACAGAGAATAAAAAGGAGAAGTGTAATTTAACATTCTTTCACACATTTGTATCTCAGTTCCTTCTAGAATATGTAATTTGTATTTAGAAAAAATAAAATAAAGCTAACCACTTTATAATTTGATGTAGTCAAGTTTAACCCTTTAATTTTTTATTGAAAATTTCAACCAAAATAGTAAATCCAGAGGTTGAGAAAAAGTTACCTACATTCGAACTTGTTTTTAATTTTGATAAAGGAAATATGTTGAGTTAGCGCTATAGGATAAGCACTGGACTGCCAGTTCATTTGAACCGTAGGGTCAGTGGTTCTAACTCAACAGCTGCTCCTTGGAAACCCCATACAGGGTAGCTATGAGTCCGGAAGCGACTCAATGGCACTTAACAGTAACGCATAGTAAAACCCAGGATGATTTCTTACAGTACTTATTTATTAAATCCTACTTTTTAAAGAGTAGAAAGTAAACTTTTCTATAATTCTGAATTACTGTAGACTTCACTAGTATCTATAGGGCCATGTTATTATTAAGTGCCATCAAGTTGGCTTTCAAGGAGCAACTAGTGATTTGAACTACTGACCTTTTGGTTCAAATCAACTTTGTGGTTCAGTGCCCATTCTACAGCCCCACAGCAGGACTCCCTGTAGGACCATGTTACTGTTAAGTGCTACTGAGTTGTTTCCAACTCATAGCAACCCTATATAGGATTTCTAAGGAGCAGCTGCTGGGTTTGAACTGCCAACTTTGCGGTTCAGACCAACTTTGCAGTCCAGCACATTATAACCCACAGCACCACACCAGGGCTCCATATGGAATCATAGGGCACAATATAAAATTTTACAACTCAAAGCATAAAGCAAATCAGCATTTTAAAAAAATACCCTGAATGCTATAAAAAAATGAAAATAAGTCTTTTAGAAAAAAAATCTAGCTACAGCTCAACCAACTTCTTCACTATCACTTCACTCTATCATCTTTGCTACAACCCCTCCAACCCATTATCTAACAATGCTCATTTGAAGCCAGAATGGCTATATTTCATCTCTCATACTTTGGACTTATTAGCAGGATGGAACAGTCTGTGGAGAAGGATATGTCTGGTAAAGGGGAAAGTTGGGGGGGTGGGGGGGAGGAAGGAAGTCCCTCCAGGAGACGGATCGACATAGTGGCAGCAGCAGTGGCCTCAAATGTAGTAATTGATTGTGAGATTGGAGCAGGACCAGTCAGTGTCTTTCTGTTGTACATAGGGGTACTATGAGTCGGTACTAACTCGATATCACCTAACACCAACTCAACCAAAATGCTACATACAGCAAAATAAGAAAACCTTGACATTTCAGTGTCTGTCATTTCTTTCATTACTATACTGTTAACTCAGTCATTTACTACCAAAAGGAGAGATAAATTGTTTATTAACCAGCCAAGTTAATGAATATTACATATTATTTATATATGTATATATCAGATGACGTATTACATTGGGCAAATCTGCTGCACAGGTACTTTTTAAAGAATTGAAGAGCAGAGATGTCAGCTTGAGGACTAAGGTACACCTGACCCAAGCCATGGTATTTTCAATAACCTCATATGGATGCGAAAGCTGGACCGTGAATAAGGAAGATTGTAGAAGAATTGATGCCTTTGAGTTGTGGTGTTGGAGGAGAATACTGAAAGTGCCATGGACTGCCAAAAGAACCAATAGATCTGTTTTGGAAGAAGTGCAACCAAGGTGCTCCTTGGAAGCCAAGATGGCTAAGCTTCGTCTCTCCTACTTTGGACACATTGTCTGGAGAGAACAGTCGCTGGAGAAGGATGTCATGCTGGGTAAGGTGGAGGGTCAGAGAAAAAGAGGAAGACCCCCAACGAGATGGATCAGCCAGGTGGCATCATTGATGGCATCAAGTGTGGCGGCGGTACTGAGGTTGGCTCAGGATCAGACATTGTTTCATTCTGCTGTGTATGGGGTCGCTATGAGTCGGTTCCGACTCGATGGCACCTGACAACAACAACAACTTACATTTCTAAGAAGTGGTTTATTAGCATTCGTCAAACAACTGCTCTATCTAGGAATAACAGCAGTCAACATTAAGTCCAATTCTACTTAGACACCAATCATGTATCTTTAGATCAGAGGACACATGGGAACACTGCATACTAACCCTTAAATCTGCAGTAAAAAAATGTTTTTAGAAATATTATGAAACTGATAAAGAGCTAAAATAAGTTAAAGCAAATAGCTATAAAACCTTAACAGAAGCCTCCTTAGTTCCTCATTTTCTATAAACAGCTTCACAAATGATTTGGAAAATCAGCCTAGAGGCAAACAGAAACCAGTGTTCCCCATTCTTGAACTCAACCATTCTTGAGAAATGACCAATCAGCACGTGTAATAGATCAAATAAATCTGAAGCTGATGCTCAAGGCTTGGTTCTGGATCCATTTTCTGGCTTGGACTGGTCAGGAGTCACTTCCTTCAGAATCTTCATTAGTGAATTTAAGCGAGCATGTGTTAAAATTATCTTCTCTTTCAGCTGGGAAAAAATAATATATCAGGGCATTAAGCTTAATGCTCAATTTACTGATCTCAGAAGCCACTTAATGTATATAACAAACCCAAAGAACACTTAAGATCTTCAAATACAAAATTCACATGAAAGACGGCTAGTAGTAATGACTACTGTGCATTAATGCTTCTTACCACTCTTCTTCCTACCTATGATCACTTGGAAGGAATCTAAAATACATGGATAAAGAATCAAATTATCCATCTTATTCACAATAAAAAATTTATTAATAAAGTTTTTTTTCAGACAGAAGCTTAACTAGCAGCTTCTCCCTTTTCAGTTACAAGAATCTAACTTTTCTTTTAATCCTTCAATTAACAGTAAAAAATGTCTTTCTTAACATTATTGTGCTGCTGTTGTTACAAAGTGCTGTGGAGTCAGTTTCGACTAACAGCGACCCTGTGTAGGATTTCCAAGGAGCGGCTGGTTGGTTTGAGCTGCCAAACTTTAACAGTTAACAATCCAGTGCATATCCTATAGTACCACATTAGAACTCCAAATGTTGTTAAGTGCCATCAAGTCAACTGTGACTCAAAGCGACCCTGTATATGGGTTTTCCAAGAACAGGTGGTAGATTTGAACTCCTGACCTTGTGGTTAGCAGTCCAGTGTTATCCTAAAGATCCGCAGCAAGACAAATATTCCACTGTTTTTAAGTTCTGACTCACAGCTACCCTGTCTAGGGTTTTCAAGGAGTGGCTGGTGGGTTTGAACCTTTGCTCAAACCCTCCAGCTTTGCTGTTTAAACCGACATTGCTGTCAAGTGCTTATTCTATAGCGCCACACCAGGACTCCACGGTGTTACTAGAGAGTTTCAAAGTTAGTTCAGGATGTTGTTAGTTTTAACACAGATGTTTATTGTAACTGGGTAATTTTCAAAGTTATTTTTAACTAAGAACAGTTTTATCTAGAACTAGTTTGTTACTCAGCATACATGTACTTAGACCTATAAAGTTATGTAATATAAGATTATGTATAATTTAGCCTTCTGTTGAAGCCATAGTTAACAGCAATATTTTTATATCTCTAAGTTTTAGGGTATATATTTCTGACTTACATTTGTATAGCACACTAAATTCACTTCTTATCTGTGCTATATCTAAAATTCATTAGGAAATTTTGCTTAAAAAACTTCTAGCCATCATTGGAAGTCCTGGTGTGGTGCTGTAGAATAAGTACTGGACTGCTAACTACAAGGTCAGTAGTTCAAACCCGCCAGTCACTCCTAGGAAACTCAATTGTTAAGTACCATAGAGCTGTTTGCAACCCATAGCAACCCTGCATAGGGTTTCTGAGACTGTAAATCTTTACGGGAGCAGAAAGCCTCATCTTTGTCCTGTGGAACCGTTGGTAGTTTCAAACTACACGACCAGAGCTCCTCAGGAAACTCAATACAGGGGCTTTGTTAGTCGGGAGCAACCTCAATGGCACTTAATAACAATGAAGCCATCATTGACTGCAGTTGAAGACATTGCTGCTGTACTATAAATAGGTTATATAAGGGGTTTGCCTGAATCAGGATATTCCATGGGGGAACACTGACTTCCTGAAAAAACTCTTGGCACTGGTATTTACTGTTTAGCCTAAATTGGATGGGCTTAAGGATTGGGACTGATGGGGAATAGAGGAAAGCAAGTAACAGTTGAAATTTTTTTTGGTTAAAACTCATTTAACCATCCTCATCTGATTATTCAGTAATGCTTGTTAGTAATCTCATACATGAGGCCTGGATATCCACAGACAAATGTAAAAAACCTTCCCTAAAAGCCGAGACTGTAAATTCCAAAAAGGCAAGTCCCCCCCCATCCAAAAAAACCGCTAAAGAGGATAGAGAGAAACACTGTTAACTGATGATATATGGAAGGGATAATAATCAATGTAATGAAACAAGCTATATGAATGGTTGAATGTCAAGCTGATGATGTGCCCTGTAAACTTTCACTCAATCCAAAATAAAAACATTTAATTAAAAAACAAAACAAAACAAAACTCATTTAACCAAAAAGCAAATAAATTCAGATATCCAGAATGATTAAAACTTTCAGGAGATTTAAAATAATTTTAAATGTGCTCTGAAATTTGGGCAGAGCTAGTTTCTTCCAAGGACTGTTGGTATTGCTTTGTATGATCAGCACTGGATTTCAAACCACAAGGTTGGTATTTAAAACCTACCAGTTGTTCCTTGGAAACCCTATACAGGGTTGCTGTTAGTCAGAACTGACTCAGCAGCACTTAACAACAACAAAAAATAAGTGTCTTCCACTAGAGGAAACATGTTTATCTGAGTATGGGTTAATTTGTTGTTAAGTGCTATCAAGTTGGTTCTGACCCATAGCAACCTTGTATAGGGTTTTGAAGGAGCAGCTGGTGAGTTCGAACCGCAGACCTTGTAGTTCAAACTGACCTTGAGGTCGAGTGCTCACCTATATCCTATAGTGCCACACAAGTGAAAACTGCCATGTCAGTTTGCATTCCTTATTATGTCATCTCCAACTACTGAGGAGGTTGGTCACTATTTTAAGACCTTCTTGGTCCTACCAGGTGGTAGCAGTAGTGGTGGTAGCAACCCAGTATAGGGTTTTCTGAAGCTGTAAATCTTTGAAGGGAGCAGAAAGCCTTATCTCTCTCCTACAGAGTGACTGGTAGATTCTAACCACTGACCTTGTAGTTGGCAGTGCAGCTCATAATCCACTACAGTACCTGGGCTCCTTTATACCAGGTGTTGTTAAATCAAGTCAGTTTCAACTCATAGCAAATCTGTAGAGGGCTTCCGAGGCTTTAAACCTTTACAGGAGCAGAAAGCCTCATCTTTCTCCCACAGAGCACTGGCAGGCTCAAACCACAGACCTTGTGGTTCACAGTCCAGTGCTTATATGGAACGACTGTGCTCATCATACCAGGTAGAGTAGAAAATATAAATTAGGAATATTAAGCTCTGATAACCTGAAGTATAAATCATGCATTTAAAAAATATACTAAGCCCAGATTGAGCTAGGAAAACACATTTGAAAATGGACTTTATCACTGTTTGAGGCAGAAGGATAAAGTAATAATTTTCTTTATGTTGTGGCTATTTCTTAGACAGATGAATTTTAACAATGAACTTTACAAATGTATCCACTAAGTGAAGGGAATTAGATTAGTATCTCACGTTCAACTTGCCAACTATTTTAAATTTGAGGTAAGTCAAAAAATATTCATGCATAATCATAGATATTAAATGAAAATTTTTTAAAACTCTAAAGCTACTGTTTATCAACATGTTCTCTCACTCTAGGTCTGAATACTTCTGGAAGATAGTGTTTCCCTCTTTCTAGGTTTTCCCCAAAGGATTCTTTGAGTTTGGGGAGTAAACAGAAGTCTGATAAGGAAAGATCAGGGCTGCAGGATGGTTGGGATAAGGCTTCCCAGTAAACTTCTCTAAAGTCAGCCAGGCCTTGCTATCCTTGCAAGATGAGCAGGTACATAATCATGATGGAAAACAGTTCCTCACTGCAATTTTCCTGGCCTTTTTCTCCACCAATACGGTTTTCCATTTTCTTAAAACTTTTTTATGATTTAAGTGCCTTTGAGTAGGTTCTGAGTCATAGTGAACCTGTATACAGTTTCCTAGCAGCAGTTGGTGGGTTTGAACAGCCAACCTTGGGGTCCAGTGCATCATCCTGCTGTGCCAAACTTCTCACCAATACAGTTTTCCATTTTCTTAAAACTTTCTTTCTGATAAGTCCCTGTGATTGTCCTGTGTGCTTTGAGAAACTCTATCAAGATTACCTCTTCGGAATCCTCCCCAGTCACCATAAACTTCTGAGCTACCTCTCAGGCTAGAATTTAACTGGCCCAGCAGATACTCTTGGAAGCCAGTTTTGACTGGAATTTGCAGTCTGGATTATGCTAGTAAATCCAAAACTCAATCCTGGTTATGATTTGTTCCATAAAAATCATCATTAGCTTCAATTTTGCTTAAAAGACTGATGGAAAGATCAGTTCGAGCTAACTGATCTTCTTCGGATGCTTGGTGTGGCCAAAATGTTCACTCAAAATTAAAAATGCCAAATCACTTGCGATCATGACTTCAGTTGCTATCACAACAATGGTAATTCTAGGGACAGTCTTTTTCCACCAGCTTCAGGACTTCAGCCAGTTTCTTCATTCATGGAGGCTGATGGTCTTTCCTCTCTTGGCTATCTTTGATGTCTTCTCCACCTTCCTGAAAACACGTAATTCATTTAAAAATTGTTGTATTATATAGAGCAACATTCTCATAAATTTATTGCAAAGCTTAATGACATGGGAAATGTCCACTTGATTTTTGTTTAAAATTTAGTATTATCCTGACCTCAAAATCTTTTTTTTCTACAGCACAAAACATGTTTTTACAGGCATCTTAATTTAGGAGCAGAGTTGCTTTCGAGGACAAGCTGGATAAGCACTAGACAGTTGGCAGTTCGGGTTTACCAGCCGCTCTGAAGGAGAAAGATGAGGCTTTCTACTCCCTCAAAGATTACAGCTGCAGAAACCCTATAAAGGTTTATTATGAGTTGGAATCACAGGATTATTGTTAAGTTGGAACCAACTCATAGGCAGGCACTTAACAGCAGCAGTAAACAAGTCTAACCAACAGAATCTAACCAAAAAGGAAGAACATGCTTAGCATTTCTAAAGATGAAATAATTCAAGGCCTGAGTTAAAATATTGGAGAATTCTGTAGGCAAAATGGAGTCCTGGTGTGGCGCTGTGGGTTAATGTGTCAGACTGCAAAGTCATTTGAACTGCAAGGTTGGTGGTTCTAGCTTACCAGCTGCTCCTTGGAAATCCTATACAGGGTCACTATGGGTCGGAATCAACTTGATGGCACTAATCAACAACATAAGCAAAATAATGAATGATTCAAGAAGCATCAAAAGAAGATAGGAGGTAATGGAAGAATGGATAAACAAATTTTGGTACATACAATCAATGGAATATTAT